TGCAGTAAATGCTGGATGGCCCCAAGCATGCATTGGTGCAAGGGGTTGTTCCTCCCCAGGTGCAGGATTTTGCACCTCTCCTTGTGCAAAATCCACGGGGTTCCTGTCAGGCCATTTCTCCAGCCTGCGAGGTCCCTGTGGAGGGCAGCACCAACCACTGCCGTACCAAACACTCCTTCCAGTTTGACATCTTCAGCTGCTCAGTTTTGTCCTTCATAAGATGATTTCAATGAAGTTATAAAATATCACCATAAAACATACAGAGTTTGTTTTGAAAGTATTTCCCCACTTGTAGTCAGCGCTTGTTTGCTGGCTACAATCCACAGGACAGTCAGCCCCCTGCATTTCTTAGCAGATACCTTAAAGCATGAGCAGTGAAAAGATTGTGACTGCTGGTCTAGGAAAAAAGTACTGAGTCAACAGTGTTACACTGGTCCACAAAGGTGGGGAATTTCTCCTGTCAGAGTTTTATGTTCTTCCTGGGCAAGTAGAGTGGTAGAGAAAAAAAGGGAGTGAAATTCTGCCTGTATTCTTCATCCAAAAACACTGTAGTAAACCTCTGTCAAGGCATTCAGGATGGGACACCAGTATCACTCTGGTGGCATTTGTAACAGAAAAAGTCTCTTCCTCTCCTTCTGTCTGTCATTTGGGCATTTCTTATTAGGAAGTGTTCCCAAAGGAATACTGCTGGCCACTAATACCTTGCTGGTCAGTACTACCATCACGTTATTGTCACTGTAGCATTGAAATTGCATCCATGGAAACATTCTTTACAGGAACATCAAGATTGACTTTGCCATGTTCGAAAAGTCTGACATTTCCACAGACCAGCACTTCCCATTTCCAAATCTGAGGCTGCTTTCCAAGGACTTTACACACCAGAGCTCCCACAGGACAGCAGAGACCACAGGAAGCAGCCAAGCCTTGACTAATGGGCTGACACTGCTTTATGGCAGGACACCCTCCAGCTGCTGGAAAGCAATGAAGGGAGACTGCAACTTTGCCAGAGAGAGAGAGAACTTTTAGCCTGCCCATTTCTGCTGAAGGACTAGAGTAGTAACCTTTATGGATCCACTTATATGCAAGATAAGCAGATCTTTTGATCCAGCTATTGTAACTTTTAAAAACACACTTATCTATTAATTATTTCATGCTGAATCAACCTAGCAAAATTCTTTTCACCCCACTTATATCACAGATTTCAGATGTAGGGACTGGATGGCACCAAACACTTTTGAAAGCATCAACTTATGGATCTATAAATATATGAGTGATATTTTAATGCAAATTATAAAAAAAGCCCTAAGGTTCCAGACAGAGATTATATATTTTATTATATAATTTGCTCTCTTGGTGAAGAACAGATATTCAATCCCTTCCTCAGCTCTGATAAGGATGCACTGGGGGTCATGCTAAATCCAGGATAGGAGCAAGGTGCCCTCAGCCTAGGTGCCTTGACTGCTGGATTCACTGGTCAGCAGAACAAATTTGATCTGACTCAGATGTGGGCACATGACTGTAGTTCTCTTGTGTTAGTCAGACACTACAGAGCTGTGTTCTTGTGTGCTGGCTCTGTGTCAAGGGATGAGGGGGGCAAAGGATGCACAGAGCTGACTCAACAAAGATTTCTGAACAAGGATCCACCAGCCACTCAGCCACTGCATTCTGTAGCTCTGGCATTTTGGAGTGGACTTCAGGAAACCTCAGCCCAGCTGCAAGCTATTGGCATATCAATAACACCAGTGATTTAATTCACTACTGAGTTTTGAGAGATAGGGTATTAGCACCTGCAGAGCAGAAAGCAGTGCCAAAAGGAGGGAGGAGGGGTCACAAGCCTTATGGTAGAGTAGGAGGACCAAGCTTCTATAAGCTACCAGAAATAGAGGGATCTGCCAAAAGTGGTTACAAGTAAAATAAACATTTATATTTGTAACTCATGATCATAGCATTGATATTATGATTCCCATCCTCCTTTCATGCCTCTCTGACTATCTGGTGCTGAAAATGATTGCTTGACTGCAAGTGGAGAGCTCAAAGCTGCAGCCCCCAGTGGCCAGCAACCCTTCTAATACAGCGATCCAGCTCTACCATACTGTCTCTTCCAGCACTGTTCTCCCACAGGGGGTGTCAGGATTAAGCCTTTGTCCTCTTGTTGCCACCACTGCACCACAATAAAGTCTGGCTGAAGCCCTGAACTTCCAAAGATGGACACACAGTGTGTGGCCAATATGCCAAAGGATTTCAGTCTCCTGCCCACCTTTAGGCTACCTCATTTTGCCACATTGAAACAGATTTTTGCTCTTGTCAATGATACAGATTTCAAGAGAAAGATTTGAACTAATAATGATGGAGAAGATTGGAACTGGCCTTTCCTTCTTATTCCCTCTTCTGCACAGCACTGCTGAGGTGTTTATTACTTTGGTGTCCACCTGCTGACCTGTACAGTATAAATTTAAACAGGCAAGTTTTGCAGTTCAATAAATAGAGAATATCTTTTAAAGTCACACTTGAGCAGATACAAAGTCTGGGAAATGTCATCCAAATGTTATCATAAGTGAAATAAAATGAAATCATAATTCAGCCAGATTCAGCATTACTCCAATGCAGTGGAAAGTGGTGCTTCAAATGCCTGAATCTGCTGCCTCATTGGTTTCTCTCCTGAAAACTATAAATTCTTGATCAGATATTCTCTCCTGAACTGCAAGATAGAATGAGTAAAGTTCAATTTGGCTAGGCAAGAGCAACAGTTACTGAGATCAGAGAGATTTAGAGCAACAGAGTTCTACAAATCAGCTGTCCTGGTATGACAACTTGTCATACAAGGACTGATAAAATCTTCCATACAAATGGTTATTTGGAAGATTATGTCTGTACTCAGTGGACCTGGATCCTTCAAAAGCAAGAAATGACTTCGAAAATTGAGGGGACATATTTTTTGCGGGTACTTAGGTAGTCACTTGTCTACCTCATTACACAGCTAAATACCTCTGAAAATGTAATCTTCAGTCACAGTCTCAAAGGAGACAGATTTCTAGAGGTGCACAGATGGCCAGGAGGTTTACAAAGTGCCTGGTTGTTTAGCTCACTATAAAATCAGTGAGAGTTAAGGGTCTCATATAAAACCACGTAGATCTGCCTAATTAAAAACATAGCCCTGTGTCTGGTTAAAATCACAAAGGTTGGAGCCTTGCAAGCTCTCAAAACTACATTTTGGCTTCCATGAGGAAGTCCCCAGGCAGGATGCCTGATCAATGGGAACAAGGAGGGGAGAGGTGTCAAACCTGGGCCAGCCTCCAGTCCTGGACTGTCAGGACAGAGGGCTGGTAACAGCAGGGAACAGACAGTCCACAGAGAGCTGACACTAAAATAGGTCAGTCTAGACCTTCACAAAGACACTTCAATCATATCTGCACGGTTCAAAGCAAGCTGTGGGTTTGCTTAGACCATTTGAGAAGGTGTTTTTCTTTAAATAGCAGCATAGGATGAGAGCTGCCACTTGCAATTCAATCACCCTCCTTTAATACAGGCTGGTGCTTTGCAGCTGGATAATTAACCTTGGTATTCATTTGGACTTCAAAACACCCAATTCCCATTGCTGTCAATTAGCTGACAATGTCAAGTGTGTGTTGATAGAAGATTTTTGTGTGACCCTGGCAATATGTCATTTGGGAAATTTCAGTCCTTCACAACTAAAAATGGGAAGTGACATTCACAGAAGCACAGAATGGTTGAGGTTGGAAGGGACCACTTCACTTCTAGTGAAGTGGATCCACCAGATCCACTTGGAGATCTAGTCCAATCTCCCTGCTCAAATAGGGTACTCTGGAGCACTTTCCTTAGAATTGTGTCCAGGATGATTTTTAATATCTTCCAGCCTCTATGGGCACCCTGTTCCATTGCTCAGCCACCCTCACAGTACAGAATTCTTCCTCATATTTAGGTGAACTTCCCATGTTCCAGTTTCCACCTGTTGCCTCTTGTCCTATTGCTCAGCACCACTGAGACTGTGAATTTGTCACTGGATTGAGTTCACTAAAAAAAACAGACATGTATTAGGGTTTACCCTCCTTTCTGCTCTTAAGGCAATATACCTTTCTAAAAGACCCTCAAGATATTTTTCAAACCTTCTTGTTGCAGCTCTGAGTGCACAGAAGATGTCTTGATCTCAGAGCACCCAGAAGCTACCATGCTCTTTAACACCAATGTAAGGCTGGAGGCAGGGTTATAAATGACTGGTACACAATGATTTTTGATATGAGACGCAGTACTATAAGCACCGAGTATCAAAATGAAAAAAAAAAAAAAGTGGGAAGGGCCACTGGCATTTCATTCTTGCCACTGATCTCTTTGCTTTTATAATAAAGAGTTACATCCTACTGGTAACAAGATTAAATTAGTGGGCAGAAAGAAATTTGAATCAGACTGTTTTCCTGATATGCCACAGTGGATTTTGTTCTGCTAATGAGTGCTAACCCTGCAATCAGGTAAACATTCACCTTGAGAAATGAACAACCTTAATCAGGGCTTTTAAATCAGCCAGAACAGTCAACGGCTAAAATGAAATTGGCTCAAACACAACTGCTTTTCTTTTTAAATATTGTTCTTCCTTCCTTATGAGGATGGGAAATAATAGCATAAGTGAAACATTCTTGCAGTAAAGGAGCAGCTCCAGTCCTTCCATGTTAGAGACCCTGTCCTGTGAGTAAGAAGGGATGTATTGATTGATGCTCAATAGAATGCTTTTGCACAGGCTAACTGGAGCCTTCTGTGAAGGCTCCTAAATGAGCTCAGTCTGACCTCCACAGTTCTAAAGAACTTTACCTCAGATCCTAAGCAAAATAATGGAGAAAATAAATAAGAGGAGGGGGCAGGAAGAAAGAAAAAAGAAGTGTTGGTCTGTGGTGCCTTTCTCTGGATTTGAGAATGACATCAACCTGTGGACCTTTATCTGAAATATCCTGACAGTAGAAAAAACACTGACCACTCCATTTTCTCTGCAGGGTCAACACTACGAAGAGGAAAAACGGGCTTTGAGCCATGAAATAATTGCACTCAATAATCACTTAATAGAAGCCAAGGTGACGATAGATAAGTTGTCAGAAGACAATGTAAGTATTTAATTATTCATTTTGAGATTATATTCAGAAACAAATTGGGTCTTGCACTTCCCAGTGCAAGAAATTATAGAATAGTATTTTATGTTTGTATAAAATGTAACCTGCCACCTCAACAGTTAAAAATCATGTTTGTTTGTTTGTTCCCACCATTTTGTAAATTTAGCTCTCCTTATGCTATGAGGTTGTGGTGAGACTTTTCATTGATATTTTTTTCCTTACGTCTAGCCTGAAACTGATGGAAAAATATTTTAAGAAATGGCAATATTCCCACATTGATTTTGACATCAGTACAGCAAATCGGTGCAAGCACATGGTCAGAGCTGTTGCAGGGACACGTGTGGAGTGGGGACTCTTCAGAGGGATTTTAGGCACAGAGCAGAGCCCCACACTTCCTGCAATTCTTTGATCTTTCGGTCTATGCTCACCAAAAAGCCCAGCACAAGCCAGCTCTGCCAGCACAAGGCAGGACTGACCCAGCCTGGTCACCAGACCACTCCTGCAGGGAGCAGGAGCCAGGCTTTCCCCAGCAGTTGTTTGTGTGTAAAAATGTACCTGTCTCTGTGTGGGACAAAACAGGGAACATCTCTGGCAATTGTCACCCTCCATCTCATTAAACACTACTGAAAAATGGCATGAGTAGCACAGCTGGCAACAAGCTCATTAAATCCTTCCTGAGACAAACCTGCAAAGACAGCAAAGAGAGGAATATTGCAAGCATTTAGTTCATTATTGTGCCATTCCTTCCACATTTAATAAAAAATTCATCTACAGAAGACATGTTTCTGTTAGCACTTATTTTCCAGCATCTTACTTTCAATCTTCTCATATTTCACATGAACTCTTAATCATAGCTGGGAGCATTTAATTTCATTAAAATGGCTGTTGATGTGAACTCTGTCTGTGCAATTAACAGCTTTCCAACTGAAATAAAAAGTTCCCAATCTGACCCCTAACTTTTATAGAAGTTGAGTTGAAAGAAGAGTTACTTTATTACTCTAGCAGCTGTAAGTAATGGAGTGTGGTAAAAGTAATGGCTTACATCCAGGTTTTGGAAGCACAGGTATACCTGCAGAGTAATTCACCTGAAATCAGTGGAGTTATTTTTGATTTAAAACAGAGGTCGAAGAAAGTTGCAGAAATCTCCCTTTAAGTATGCATGCATTTGTACTACTTCATGGAGTCAGGTTTGAACCCACATTTGAAGTGTTTTCAGTGCTCCTAGTTTTACTCTGAGCACTGGAATATGGTCCAGAGGCCTCAAATAACAGCACCACTTCTTCAGACTTGAGGTTGGTCCGTGGACAAAGCTCTGCCTTTGCAGGTCTTGAGAAAATAGCATGAAATTAAGTCAGGAAAAGGTTCTTCACCCAGAGGGGTGGGCCCTGGAACAGCTCCCCAGGGCAGTGCTCACAGCCCCCAGCCTGACAGCTCAAGAAGTGTTTGCACAATGCTCTCAGGCACAGGCTGTGACTCTTGGGGATGGTGCTGTGCAGGGCCAGGAGCTGGACTTGATGATCCTTGTGGGTCCATTCCAGCTCAGGATAATCTATGATTATATGTAGTATAACTAATAAGAGTGAAGGTTATATTCCAAATTTTAAAATAAAGGACTACAAAACAAACCACTAATATACCTAACAACTACAGAAGTGATAAACTGATGAATCCTACATGGGGAGAATGTTTTTGTCTCAGCAATATTTCTTCAATTATATTTTCCCTTTCTCTTCAGAAAGAAATGTAAAATGACGCTTTTGATACAAAAACAGATTTTAAACTGTGGGAAACACTTCTGGCATTAATTGCCAGTGATTGTTCTGGTTGGCACAGATATGGCTGGTTTCCATTCAGGCAAACATTAAAGGAGAGAAGGTCACTCCAGTCACGTGGCTTGGCCCAGCAGGTTGAGAACAAAGTACACGTGGCACATGTAGCTCACATGTAATTTCTCTGTAGTAATTTTTAAAGCTGCTAAAAATAAAGTGTCAGAAATGCTTTTTGTGCTCTCCATGACAACCACTGAGCAGAAAGAGGGGCACAGAGCTTTTGAAGAAAGGATTAGGTTCTGGAGAGATGTCATTTTTGTGTGCCTGGAAATGCCATATGGCACTCGGGGTACCTGTCTGTGCTATACATTGTGCAGCAATATATATTGGGTTTAATGTATATGCAACATATCAAAGTCACATGCACATGCCACGGATTTTACTTCTAAATTGAATTCTTGGGTTCTTTTTCAGGAATGAAATAATGTGTCCTAATATAAAATTTAAGATCCACATGAATGAATACAGTACATTTGCAGCAGAAGTGGCATGTATAAAATGTCACAGAGAAAAACAAAACACAAGTGTCTAAACAAAAGTGTCTAAAGGTCCTTGAATGTGAAAAAATATGAACTAATGTTCACAGGACATCTATCCCCATCACTGAAAGACTCACAAGAACATCTTGTTGCTTATTACAGAATACCTTAAAATTGTCCTTTAAAACAGAGGAACTTTATTTTTTACTGAAAATTTCTTTATGAGTTTTTAAGAGAATTAATGTAGCCGTAAATACTGGCATGCAGTAAAATTATGACATTAACATCAGAGAAAATCCAAATTATATCAGTATTCCCCACCTTTTGTCTACAAACACATACTAATTTTTACAGATTAACACAGCCCAGTGCCCATAGCACTTTCATGCTTTGTATATCTCATCTCTGCCCACCTATAAAGTCAGCTTCTGAAGCCAAAGCAAAAGGAAAAACAAAATACAACTCCTACCTTCAGGAAGCCAGAGATACTGGTTGAAGGATACAGTTACACAGTCATGTGTGCTAAATTAAATTTAAGTGAAGGGCAAATCTGTGTGCTGAATTTTCCCATTAAATAGGCTGTGGGAGCCATTCAATACCAAGATAGTATAAGAAGCTTGTTTAAGTTCTCTCCTTCCTTGTGTGGAATTCTCACAATAATTTCTTGCCCGGTGAAAATATTTGATTCTGCAGCATCAAATATTTGCAGTTAGATTTAATATATTTCTATAGCTGCATTCTGCAAGATATTAAAGGAGCCAGGAACCATCCAGAAATACTAAAAGGAGAAAGAGTCTCCCTTTTAAAAAAATCAACACAATGTATATTTCTGTAATTAATTTCTCCCACAGTCTCATAATATTATTTTAGCACTTTCTAAAGTAGTATTTTATTGCTCGTCTGGATAACACCCAGTAAAAATTTTCTTTTTTCCTTAAAAGATCATGGTTTTTAGCCTTCACAGTATCATGCATGTTAACAGTATAAAATTAAGTTCGTAATGGTAAATATCCATCTTCTGAAAAGCAGATTACTGTTCTGTTGTAACAGGTATCAAAAGTTTATTCTTAGTAATTTTATCAGCCCTCACAGAGCAAAGGAGGAAATATCTCTGGGTTGTGCAAGAAACAGCAAAGCATCTTAATTTGTTTAGAAATTAAGGTGTGCTCCAAATCTCCCCAAAGTGAATTTTAAAAAGATTGATCAGGCATGGGAGAAAGGCTGAAAGCCACAAGCGTTTTGCAAACTTTAAAGAAGAGGTTATTTTTTGTTTTTTCCAGGAGCTCTACAGGAAGGACTGCAATTTAGCTGCTCAGCTTCTCCAGTGCAGCAAGAACTATGACAGGGCACATAAACTTTCAGAGGTAATGCGACCAAACTTGCTCGATGACATAAATATTGTATGGAAAACAGGTTATTTTGCATGTACCAATTGCAGAATTTGTTTGCCCTTAAGGTTTTTATTCCTGCACACAACCCTCCTTTAAGCCACAGGAAGCCTCGTGCACCTGCTGGTGTCTGTGCCATCGAGGATGGTGCTGACAAAATCACAGCCATGGTGGAACTTGAAGGCACTTTCTTTCCCCAAACCTCTCCTATCCAGTAGGATGGGCCTGCATGATTGCCTGTAAAGCAAAGATTTTGTAAAACACTCAAGTGCTGTGAGCTCCAGAATGCAAAATGCTGTGCAGGAGCAGCGGGGTGAGAGCAGGGAAATGACAAGCCACAGGCGTCAGAGATTCTGATATAATCAATTTTCCTCCTGAAGCTATTTTCCAGTCCAGCTAGTTTCCAAACCGGAATTTTAAAATGGACTGCCAGAACAAATATCTTTTTCTAAAGAAACCAGAGCACTGAATGATTGATTTCCAAGGTGGAAACTTTAATTAATAATCCTTGCTTCCAAGGAAACGAGGCTTGAGGAATAGGCTCCTTAAAGGGGAGGCAAATATTATCTTAGTTTAGAAGACAGTTCTTTAGGGATCCAGGCCCTGCACAAAGCAATAGCACCTTCCTCACACATATTGATTCAGTGAAGGTTACAGGGAATAGCCTTTCCTTCTTCAGTCCCATCAGGTCAACATCCCCCAAATGGCCTCTCTTGTGCAATTCTGCAATGGAATAGTGCAAAATTAAATTTGGAATGTACAAACCATCTCTAAGTCAGTAAATGGCTTCAGAAAACTGAACAACCCTGGTAAACAAAGATGGAGCAAGATGCTTCTGTCCACCAGGCTATGATTTTATGGAACAGAGACAGAACTTCCAATTAACCATTATTATTAACCATTACCTTGGTCCTGTTATTTTGTCCTGTTAACTGACTTCCCTTAGCAAATTGTATCAAGGAATTACCATTACATTACTCACACTTGAAAGCACCCTACCTGTTCTAATTAAGACCTTAAAAGTATTTAATTGTTTATTTGCAGAGAACTATCACAAATGTGAGATCTCCCCACAATTTCCCAGACTGTCATATACTCAGTTAAACAGGCAGTCTCCACTCATTACTCCAAGCATTTATTAATTTAGCAAGTGTGAATGTGCTGTCACAGCAAATAAATTCTTTACAAATGCAAATATTGCCTGAAAAACTATTATATGTTATCCAAAAACCTAAGCTGTAGTAAAATATAGCAGTGTGATAGCAGTATCATTTTAGTAATTCCAGTTTCCAGTGCAGTGCCCACAAAATAATGCTCTTTTTAACACATTTCATAATCTTAATAACGTATATAAAATAGATCAAACACTGGTGCTACAGGATACTAAAATAAGAGCTGCCCCATACAGCATTTTCACATTAATTAACTGTATTTCTTTTCCTCATTTCTATGGCAATTTACACCAGACCTATTTTACAACCTGTTTATTCAATCTTTGTTGCATCTGTACTTGCCATGACTAATGTTGCTGTCTGCCAGCAGACTGGCAATATCATTTATTTCCAATGGAGGACATATGAGTTAATTAGCAACATAATGATTAGTCCAAAATATCCTGGAAGGTCTGTTGGTTGAAAAAACACTTGTCCTACTACAAATAACAGGAATGTAATTTCACTACATGCTGTATTCTGAACACAGTGAGGTTTGGGGGTTAAAGCAGCTTTAAAAACTTCCCAATGAAATTAAAAGAGGATCTCCATAACTTAGAAAATGTGAAGCCATGACAAGGAGCAGGCACGATAAATTTCCTTTGTAAAAATAAAGAGGAGGGGAACAACTTACCAGTATTTGTAGTGTTCTCTTCTCTAGAGGAGCAAATTTAAGGAGGAAGTGAGATTGTAAGGTCATAAGGTTAACAACTGATGATTTTGTGAAGAGGAACTTGATTTCTAGTTATAAAAAGAAAGTGCTGAGTAAATCACTGTTCAGCCCAGCACCGAAGGGATTAATTCCCAAGTGGCATAAATCAACAGGAATACCAAAGGAGCTAACAAAATCACAAACTCAAAACTTATTCCAAGCATGAATTCTGATTTCCAGCAAGAAACAGGGAGAGACAATCTCTCCCATATTGCTTTCTGATCATTGGTAGAGACCTCAAGAGAGCAAGGCAGATAAAATCTGACAGGAAAGCATGCTTGGTGATACCTGAGTAGGCTTCACCAAGGAATGCCATCTCTCTCTCTGCTGGTCCACATGACAGAATGGCAGGTGAAACCACCATCCACAGCCCTGGTCCTGACTTTCTAAAAAAAAACCCTATATGACTTCTGATACACAACAGACTTATTGATTAATTCTGTCACAGGAATCACAATGTGATTTCAGGTCTTAGTGCTTTTTTTCTGTCAGTGTGTTGAGGTTTATGTGGATGGTTGATCTGACAAGCAGTGTCCAGCTGAAGGGGCAAGGAAGCCAGCTTGATCTGCTTCTTCCCAGCACAGGAATAATCCTGTCACAGCAGCCAGCACCTCTTCTATAAGTGTCAGTCAGCTTCTCTGCATCTTCAAACAGCATTGTTTATCAAAGGTGATGCTGGAGGGCACGAGCCAGTTTGGCATGGGGTTGTAGGCAAGATGAGCTTGAGGAAAAACAAAAGGAGAACAGAATAGATGTTATCTCTTCCTCCTTCCTCACCCCCACAGAGACCTCTGCACAACCACACTCCAACTGCAAATCACACCCAAGCACACAGTCTGGAAAGTGTTGCCGTAGGCTGTAATTCCCTACCTGTCTTTTTAAGATCGTTGTTTACTACATACTTTATTTACATCAGTAAAGTAAACCTGGAAGTGCTGGGTTAATGGCTGGACTTGATGAGTGTAGAGGCCTCTTCTGACCTGAGCAATTCTGTGATCATTCCTATCCAACCTGAATTAATTTGAAAGGAAACATTTCAGTTTCACAGTGTTATCTGTGAGCGAAAGCAGATGAAGATGTACAAATGTTAAATAAACAAACAAAATTCATTTGATTACAATTGTTTCAAGAAATGCACAAAGATTGTGGCCATCACAAAGAACCAGGTATGGTGAGCTGTGTAGTGCCATAAACAGCACTCATCTGACACCTCTATTGACACATACTCTTTTCTGCTTTCTCTTTGCCATCTCTTTATGTTGCAGTTGCCAACTGACTTTCAGGAAAGAGTCAGCATCCACCTGGAGAAACACGGGTGCAGCCTTTCTGTCCCCTTGTGCCACACTTCCTACGCTGATACCATACCCACTTGCGTCATTGCCAAAGTACTGGAAAAACCAGACCCACACAGCTTGTCCTCACACTTGTCAAGCCCATCCACGAGGGATCTCAATTTTCAGGACTCTGCTGGAAAAGTCGGACAACGACCCCAGTACAAGTCCGACATCTACTGCAGTGACACAGCTCTTTACTGCCCCGAGGAGAGGAGGAGGGAGAGGAGGCAGAGCGTGGACACACAGGTGAAAGACGTGGGGTTCCTGCGGTCCCAAAACTCCACGGACAGCACTGTGGAAGAAGATGGTTTCCATTCCAGCTTCTCCCATGAAGCCTTCCCAGAGTACATTACCTCTCTGCCAACCTCCAGCTCCTACTCCAGCTTCAGCGTCACGTCTGAGGAGAAGGAGAACGCCCAGGCCAACACTCTGACAGCCTCCCAGCAGGCGATCTACATGAGCAACCGAGACGAGCTGTTTGAAAGGAAGTCCCCCGCGGGTTACGAGCATCAGGGGAGCCCCAGGTTTGCCAAGCCCAAACCCGCGCAGCACATGGAGCTTGCTGACGACAACGAGAACTCACCCACTTTTACCAGGACTCTGCCTCCATATGCAAACGAACCTTTTCATTTCTCAGCCATAACACCACAGCAGGCTTTGGCAAACCAGAAAATGAGGAATGAGTGCAGGAGCACCCACCTCTCAGAAGAAGACTTGCCAGGGCGATGGAGGCAGCTGAGTGTGGAGGACATTGGAGCGTACTCCTACAGGAATGCTGGCAGGCTGTCTCCCTGCAGCTTCTCAGAGCAGTACTACAGCAGCCCCATCAAGAAGGGGGACAGTCGAACAAGCCCCATCTATGCTAGTTACAAAGCAGACAGCTGCTCAGAGGGAGATGACATCTGCCAAAGCAGACTTGTGGATTCTTGCTTCCTGAGAACAGACAGTGGCCTGAACATTGACATCAGCACAAGCTGTAAACAGGACAAATTGCCCGCTTACAAAACAAAAGAACCAAGAGACCAAAAAAACGAAAGGATAACCGTCCAGTTATGCAGTAGCAAAAACATCGAAAACAGTCCGGTATTGAAAAGAGAATATGTGGACGTGAGCCCAAACAGCTCAGCAGAGTCACTCAATCAGAGTTCAGTGGAGGCTCCAGAAATCCACCAGTCTTCCATGGATCAAGGAAGCCATTCGGGTGTTCACAGCAAACAGCCGCAGTTCCAGAGGACTGGGAGCACTGGTCTGAGTCGGAAGGACAGCCTTACAAAAGCACAGTTATATGGAACCCTTCTGAACTAGGCACCTCCCCAAACGGCAATAAGACAGCAAACAAAAGGAAGAAAAGAGCATTTGATATTTCTAGTGAACAATAAGGTTCTAAGAAGCAGGATTGTTATAAAATATATATTCATAACGGTACTATATGTTTAAAACAAAATCTCTTCAAAAACGTTATACAGCACTTTTCACTTGACATCCTTTCCACATGGGAGACTCCCCTCTTTTATAAACCTGAAATATTTTTATAAACAAAAATGTATTTATTAGACTATCCTAAACTATTTGAGCAGAATTCTTTTCCCTTCAAGCAGGTTTCTTATTTATTTTTGTGCATGAGGCCATCTGTGCCTAAATACTTGGAGGAAAAGGGTAAAATCATGATGACAGTGACAAAAAAAATTAAACCCACCTGATAAAATACTATAAAATGTCATGTGAAATAAAAAAAAACAAGAATGGTGAATTTGAAGAACTATATTTTTTAACAAGAATGGAATTGTATCTTAAGTTATTTCATACAAATGTATTTATGAGTGACTAATGTATGCACAGTGATACTAATATTTTGTTCTTTTAATCCACTATGTTTCTGCTTTCCTATTTTTCCTTGTATACTACCTCAAAAGTAATTGAGGGTTTCTTTGTCACATTTTCTGTAGGCTTGCATTTATATTGTCTAAAATGCATGCAGTGTCATAATTAATACTGTATTTTGCATAACTTAATAAAAGACACCAGTGGATATATTTTGGTGTTGTTTTTCCTTTCATTCAATAGAACACGGAATTGCTCTGGGGGCCATTAGTACAGCAAAAGTTAATGACTAAAGCTGCTGAACTGGATTGCTTTCTAAAGGAGTCTCTCTTTCTCTGTAAGCTCCAGAGTAAACTGGTTCACCCACAGCCCATGGCCTCTGGGTGTGCGAGGGTGACTTCTCATCAGCCTGTTGAAAGTAAGCAAGGAAAAGAAAATGTTTATCCACAGTCTTGAGTTCTCTAGACAGGGTTCTGCATACTGAATGTGAACAGAAAATTTCTTAAAAACCAGTGATGTAAGCTCCTCCTCTGTTACTCACATACTTGACACAATCTATTATGCCTTTAGGACCGTTGCATTCCACAGCTGCCCCTTCTTCTTATGTAGCTTGGTATTTCTAACAGTGATTTTTCTAAAGCCTAAGGAAAATCTGGAAAATCTGTAGCCTTTACCCCTGAGTCTGAGAAGATGTATTTTTACCTGTACTTCTGGCATTTCCTCCAGCAATTTTTCTGTTTCTCACCATTTCACCATTATGGAGTGTACAACTGGGACAGGAGGAAAAGGGAGAGAGCAAAACAAGAGGAGGAGAAAAACAAAAATGAGAGAAAGGGAAATCCTGTGGATTTTCTTCCCTTCTTCCCAGCTTCAGTATTCCTCCTTGGTAAGAGATAGAATACAGCAATAAATATTTAATATTATTTTAAGTCATGTTCACATATCCTATACTTAAAATACTGACTCTTGACAGCTGATGTATGGGGGAAGACCTTGCTTAGTGCAGTGTGTGGTAGTAATCACTGGGATCACTGTGGAAATATAAACTAGCTCCTTGTAAAGCGAAAATAATGATCTACGTAATAGATATTAAGAAAATATACTTTTTCTGCTGATTCTCTGAAAGCAGTTACCTGGCAACTGACTATAAACCAGGACTACAGAACTGTTCATTTTCCACATAAGTATCTTCAATCATGGGGCCACAGATTCAGTGCACTTGGCATGAATAACTCCCATTGCTCTCTATTTCCACCATGTATAATGTAAAATTTGTCCATTGTTGATGTGTGCAAGTACTTGCTGTGCTCTTTGGAAGATCAGGCATCAAGTCCCTGCAGTTCCTCCAGGGTCTGTTGCAGCACCGTGGGGAATAATGGTCACAAATAATGTCACACAGGTAAGGCACGAGATAGCTCCAAAGTGGTGCTCATTTCAGTGCAGAACTGCCACATACCTTGTGATTTTGTGCTCCCAAACTTGCTCACAGTGAGTGTGAGAGGTAGGGCAGGCTGCAAATAATTCCATGTAGTCGATAATAAACACATACAATGGGGTTTCCAAAGGCCAAGAGCTACTTATGGCAGGATGTGACCTGCAGTAAATTGACTTGGAGATCCACAAGAGCTGTTATTGCCCCTTTGAAACACCAAGATAGAAAACAGATGTGAGAAAAACCTCACTGTTGACTCATTCAGGTATATAAAATTTAGACAATCCCTAAGGCAAAACATTAATTTCTCTGGTCAATGAATATAAGGATTTGTATGGAAGAAGTGAAAATTAACTGTTATCTCACCTAAGAAAATATGTAAGCTATGAAACAGTAAAATGTGTCATTTATGAACTGGAACACAGTGTCAGACTAATCCCTTTATAATATTGTTCATTATTTGACCTAAAGTGCTATTTTGGCAATTACACAAAATTATATTTCTTCTAGATATTATATCTCTATTATATTATTTAATATCCTGTTCTATTATATTCTTTCATATTACTGCAGTTTCAAAGTCTGCTTCTATGCTTGACTTAACTGTTTTTCTCAGTTTATGTGCACTAATACATAGATTAAACCCAGCCTTTTCAGCCAATTAGTACTGGGTTTTTTTTTGTGAAATAGCCCATAACCTTGTAACATTTTTCTGTAGTGAATTCTTTTACAGAACAATATATTACCCTGTAGTGAATTTCAATGTAATCAATCAAAATGGCTATAAAAATTCTTCAGCTTTAATGTGTTGATTTAAATTTCTCCTTAATTAGAAAAACTGATGGTAAATTTGCTAATTTCTTATGAATATGAGAAAAAGTTTCAATAATTTACCAAAATTTTCTCAGATTTACAGATACACTATGGTTTAGTTTAATTTTTTTAAAAACTTTGAAATATTATAATAAATTATTTATTTCTGGGATTTTGGGGTTAATTTTATCACAATAAGGTTAGATTTATTGAGACAATCACAGTGAGAGATCTGAAGCATAAGGACACAGTGATGATAGGTATTTTCACAATAGATTCAAATTTTCTTTGTGGTAGTGTCTTAATTTTTTGTTTGCCTTCAGTTTTCACACCAGAAGGAAGTAATCCAGAAAAATTGTGATGGGTTTTGGAGTATGTCATTGGAGATATTGAAAACAGCCAACAGAAAACCTCTTTGTACAGACTTACAGTCACTGAGATTTCAGGAGACTGATCCTTGTAAAATAGGAGCATTTACCTTCTGTAGGACATTTCTGACAGAGAACAGCACCTGAAAAATCCTTTTTGGAAGAGATGACTTCCCTTTTTTCATTCAAGTAGAGGTGGTATGATAATCTCTACTCTTATGTTCATTTAATTGCAAATGTCTCCAGAAAGTAAAAGAACAGATCTTCAGCCAAAGTGCACAGACCCCTCCACTTCAGTGGCTGAGAATTTGCCATGAAATGCCTTTTCCCAAGGACATGGGAATGGGAAAATGTTCCATTTTCTCTTAAGCATTATAAGAATGCCAAGGTGGTCCCATGCTGCCACAAACATCACTTTTCCAAGTCAAATTTCATACGCAGGATTTGTAGGTAACTATGGCAGGAATTCTTATTTGATTAATTATTTCATTTGCCATGAGTAAGGACAGAAAGGGGGAGTAAAAGAAGTGGCAAGTCCCCAACAGTGCAGTGAAGCAGAAGATGAAAAATGTCATTTTAATGATGGAAACCAAAAGCAGAATGAATATGACACACAATACTGATCAAGGGGAAAACAAAGGGGGCTGAAAGAGATCAGAGTCAGGCATATTGAGTCACATATCAATACAGAAGAGAATACAAAAATGTTACTAGGGATATGGGTTATAATTCACCAGGAATAACAGTGCAAAACTATTATGAAATCATGGAAAGAAAATGCATTTTTGAGATGTTTTCTCACTCTCAATTAATCTTAAAAAAAGATGCAAAGTCTCAATAAAAATGAATAATGCAGTCACTTTTGTTAAACTTTTTTGAAGTCTAGAATTAGCTAAAATTTTTGAGTTTAAATCATGGCAAGCCATAACCCAGGTCATTTTCAACTCAACAATTTCTAACTTCTTCACCCAAACTAGAAAATTAATCAAACTAATTCTTTCCCCTTCCAGCACTTTTAATTAAAAAGAATCCATAATCTATCACAGAGCATGATACTGCAGCTACTTAGATTAATTTCCCCTTGTTTAATTTTAAAGTACTGATTGACATCCTTTGGGCTTTCGTATAAAATTCTTATCCTCCATTCATGGGTGCAACCTTGTAACCTTTACAGACTATTATTATATGTTTCCTTAAATATTATGCTTAAATAGTGTAGATGTAGTCATCTCAGAATTTTCTCTCAGAAGACACTTCTTTCAGGACATTAACTGCTTCTTATTCTCCTCAAGGAATGTCCTCCTCACCTTTCTGCTGCTGAACACCACAACATTTTCCTGTGAGCAGTGAGCTGTTCCAAGCCCCTGTACCAAAGGGCAGTTCAGGGAAAGGTGAGGGCTACACACATCAGAGCAACTTCTAATGACCCTACACGCTGATCTGCCTGCACCAAACCATGGCATCTCGTCTACGTGGTCTTATAGCAACACTACCTGAAGTTTTTAGTTGTTTTCCCAATCTTTCCTCCAAGTCTTTGAAAACAAACTTCATTGTTAGAAACAGCCCTGGCAATTCAGTTGTTCTTTGGCAACCTGTCCTGCATTCCAGCGTCTCTCACATCATTTCCACTTTGGTATTTTCTTTTTGCTGTATTTTAGTAATTGGGAGGTTTTGTTTAGCTGCAGTTAAAAAGAGTGATTTGAATATTCATGCAGTGAAGGGGTTTGCTTCTTTTGTACCCCACAAGGTCTTAGACACCAGCTTACTGCCCAAGGCACCAAGGTTTTGGAAGGCTGCTGTTCCAAGCCCCTGAGCTCTCTCTTCCCCAGGCTCCTGCAGCCCCCGTGCTGCAGAGAAGGGTCCTCTGCTTATTGCCAGTCAGGAGCTCCTTAAGGATGTTGCCAGCCCCACATC